GGGGTCCTCAGGGTGGGATGCACTGTGCCAGGAGGGGGTGTGGCAGTCAGAAGTGCTGTCTCTGGGCCCATTCTGTCACCCACCCCCTCCCACCAGAGTGGGGGCCTCCTTGCCATGCCCAGGGGCACCTCGTCCACCCCCCTCCTTGGGAAGCTCTTGGAACAGCACGTCAGCTAATCAAGCAGCGCGATCCTAATCAACTCTGATGGGTTCTTCTGCAAAAGTGCATCCTAATGAGGCGGGAGGGACCAGGGACAAGGGACCTGAGCTGGAGGAGAGGCCAGCCTCAGGCCCCAGGGCTCCTCACACAAATGCTGGCTCTTGGGTGGAAGAAAACAGGTGACTACACCCTTCTAAGGAGCCTGGTGGTATGATCGAAGGGCTAGGCGCTGGGCTGTTAACCCCAAGGTTGGCAGTTCAAGCCCATCACTGCTCCTTGCAGAAAAGGATGAGGCTTTGCTGGCAAAGACTGAGTCTCAGAAAGCCCACAAAGGGTGACTATGAGTCGGGATCAACCTGATGGCAGTGGGTTTGGTTTTCATGCACCTCCTAGGACCGATTTTCTGAACACTTCAGGCCCTGGGATGAGAGGCAGGGGTGTGTCCACAGTTGGGCATGCATACACACATGCCAACCCCTTATATACATGCACTCCCGTGAACACATACCCTGTACACACGTGCACTCCTATGAACACATACACTGTACACACACGCACTCCCGTGAACACATACACTGTACACACACGTACACACATACCCTGTACACACATGCACTCCCGTGAACACATGCCCTGTACACACATACACTGTACACACATACACTTCTGTGAACATGTATGCTGTATACACACTGTACACACATACCCTGTACACACAAACTCCTGTGAACACATACACTGTACACACACTGTACACATACCCTGTACACACACGCACTCCCGTGAACACCTACACTGTACACACACTGTACACACATACCCTGTACACACATACCCTGTACACACATACACTCCTGTGAACATGTATGCTGTACACACACTGTACATACACATACCCTATACACACATACACTCCTGTGAACACATACACTGTACACACACACACTGTACACACACACTGCGCACACATACACTCCTGTGAACACATCATCCCTCATTTGGGTGATTTATGACAGCTAAGCAGGTGCTGGGACACACACATAGTTGGGACATGGATTCTACCCTGTAGGCTCACACACATTTGCATGCACACACACCGCCCCCCCTCACTGCCCGTTTCCTCTTCCTGGCCCGGGAGACACTGTTGCTCGGCCATCCTAACACGTCCAGTGAGTCGCTGAGACAGACTGCATCAGATTCAATTCATTAGGACCGAGCGTTCCCTGAATGGGGCTGAATAATTGATGAGCAGCCGCTCAGGATGTTCTCTATACTCTGAGGCTTGCTGGAGCCCTGCGATTTTATTTTATTATTTTTTTCAGCCAACAAACCCGGCCAAATGCTCGCTGGTGTGGGTGGGTGAAGGGAGCAGAGCAAAGGTTAGATGTTTTACTATGTGATGTTTACACTGTAAATTCTCGGTCCACTGCTCATAATGGGAAATGGATACAGAGGTCCCGCGGGTGCACTGCCGGGGGCCCAGCGCGCACTGCTCTCTATCCATGACCAGCAAGCTGGCTTGCCCAGGATGCCGTCCCTGTCTCAGGATGGGGATATGGCCTGGGGGTGCTGAGGTTCCTGTTGGCTCCTGGGCTGGGCACTGGCCATCCTGCCCTCCAGCCTGGGTGGGGTTCAGTCCAGGGAGTGGTGAACACTTTCTCCTTCCCGGGCCTGAGATAGCTGTAGGCACCCACAGTTCTCTGGGGTGTTAGGCTCAAGGTGAGACATCACCAGGCTCCTTGCTGAGTTTCTGTACACTCCTTGTCTCATCATATGACATGGGGGTCCCTGTACTTGGGCAGAGGGCAGTCCCGGAGGTGAAGCACTGGCTCTTGGCCGGCTGCTAGCCTACAGGTGAGTGGGTGGCCAGAACCCACCCAGGTGCTCGGGGGAAGAAAATCCTGGCAGACTGTTTCCATAATGGTCGCAGCCATTGGGAACCCTAAGTTTGACTCTAACACGCAGGACTACTGCAGTGGGATCCGTCTTTGGGCAGTAATGTGCTTGGTGGGTTTTTTTTTTGGCGTGGGGGGGGGCTGGGTGTGGGGGGAAGGTTTTGGTTTGCTCATCCATCTACTCCACATGTCCACCTGAAGGTCCATCATGCCTCAGACCAAAGGCAGCAAGTAGCCTCTGTTTCTCCCAGCGCCCCTCTCCCTGCCCTTGGGGCCTCCCTCGTTCTGCTCCCAGCCGTGAGCCAATGAAGAAAGCAGGGTCCCTTCTCAGGCTGGGCCCCTTCCCCTTTCTTCCTTCCTTTCCTGAATGTGGCCCCTCCCTCTGTCTCCAGCTTCTCCGTGCTCATCTCCCTGGCTAGGGTGGCCCAGATGCGCACTGGAGGGCAGCCCCCCAGGTGACAGGAGCTAACGGTTCGCCCAGACTCTGGTCTCCCGTCCTCATTTCCTCTCAGGTGGCCCTCAAGGCTGTACTTCCTTTTCCCTGAGGCTGAGACTCCCTCCCCCAGCCTGGCTCATCCTGGCATTAGGGAGACAGACCTGGGGCACACTCTGACTCCACATGACAGTTTGGAGTCACCTCTCCGTGCCCCCCACAAGTTGGGGATAAAAACAGCACAGATGCTATAAATGACAGTGAAAGGGTGGGCAGTTACGGGGAGTCAATACAAGAAGCGGGCAGAAGCTCTAGTCCAGGGCTCCGTGTCCGGACCCCCATGACCCAGTCGCTGCCAGAGCAAGATCGCAGTTCAGTGCGAGAGGCCAGGGAGGAGGCTGTGACTCAGGCTCTAGGACTTCTGCCCCCGCAGAGCCCTGGTTCCCAGGAGGACCCCTGCGCAGGGCAGCTCACCTTGCCAGCCTCCTGGTGTCTGCTCAGAAAAGGATGGAGCTCTTCAACAGCCCGGCCACCCTGGCCCAGGCACCTCTCTCGGGCCGGCAGGACCCATCTTTCCCACCAGCCCCAGGCGGTCCTCCCTCACTCAGGTGCGGCACTTCCTAACAGAACTTGGAACCCAGCGGTGCAGGCCCGGCCCCAGCAGAGAACTCACCTTTCCTCCCCAGATCACTGAATGGGAACAGACATATTAGCGAGATCCCCTCTTACAAAAGTGAGAGGCTTCACAAAACTTTGTGAACAGACGCTTTGACCTTCCCATCCCATGTTTCCGAAGGTGCTCTCCCCTTCCCAACTCTAGTGCTCACTGCCAGGGAGTCAGTCCTGACTCACAGTGACCCCACAGGGCAGGGCAGAATGACCCTGTGGGTTTCCCAGACTGTCACTCTACAGGACTAGTAAGGTTCCTCTTTCTCCCAAGAAGTGGCACGTACTTTTGAACTGCTGACCTTGGGGATTGCAGCCCAATGTATAAACTCTATGCCACTAGGGCTCCCTGAAACTCTAGAGCAGTGGTTCTCAACCTTCCTCATGCCGTGGCCCTTTCATACAGTTCCTCATGTTGTGGTGACCCCCCAACCATAACATTATTTTCGTTGCTACTTCATCACTGTAATTTTGCTACTATTAGGAATCAGGTGACCCCTGTGACAGGGTCGTTTGACCCCCAAAGAGGTCTTGACCCACAGGTTGAGAACCGCTGCTCTAGAGTCTGAGGCAAATTCTTAGAAGGGAGTTGAACTGGAATGAGCAAGTTTGAAACCCTGGACCAGAACTGGTTCATAGCACAGGCCCAGAATCAAGGGGTCCTGGCCATTTAGTTGACTCTGCGCAGTCCGTGATGCAGGAGCCTGGTGATGTAGTGGGTTATGTGTTGGGCTGCTAAGCCCAAGGTCAGCAGTTCAAAACCACCAGCTGCTCTTCAGGAGAAAGATGAGGCTTTCTACTCCCATAAAGAGCTATAGTCTAGGAAACCCACAGTTCTACCTTGCCCTGTAGGGGGCTATAAGTTGGAATCGACTTGATGGTAGAGACTTTGGTTTGGCTGGTTACAGTCACGCACCAGTTTATCTACAGGCACTTACTGAATGACGTGGAGCCAAGTGGCCCTGCAAGCTGCCAGCCACATGGACCTGCCCCAGAGACGGACTCAGAGGCCACACCGGCAAAGAGAGCCCTCTGTCTGTAGAAGCAGCCTGAGCCCTGACCTCTGTGTCCGCAGCATGCTGCCCCCACCCCTGTTGCTCCTGCTTTTCCTGGTCCTCCCAGCCTGCTTCTTGGTGGCTCTCTCCTGTTCTGGGTGACCCATGTCTTTTTGTCTATAACTGACTCCTCATAGCCCTGGGCTAGTGCTGTCTAGTCCCTCGGCCTTCGGAGGGGCCTGGGATCTTGAGGGACTGCTGGCCTCTGTCACCGCATTCTCTCACTCGTCCGCTTTCTTCCAGCTGTCTGGCCGGCCTGTCTTCCCTGGCCCCCCACTCACTCAGGACTGCCTGTTGCTGTGCTGGGGCAGGCTGGGGAGGGGGCACGATGGTGGTGGTGGTGGGGCTACCTTTGACGGCCACGTGGACACTCTGGCTGATGGAGAGCTGGGGCTGGATGAGGACGCTGCACAGGTATTCGCCCTCGTCCATGCCCTTCTGCACGTCGGTCAGCTTGAGCGTCCCATTCTCGAAGACCACCTGCCTGTGGTTGTCAGGCAGCAGCAGGGCATCCTTGTACCACTTGATGGAGTAATAGGGGTAGCCGATCACCCTGCAGTTGATAAGGGTGTCCCGTCCGGCGACTGCCGTGATGTTCCTCATTGCCCGGATGCTGGGGGGACCTGGACGGGAGTCAGTGAGAGGGGGGAAAGTGGGGAGAGAAGGGGACAGGAGGTGCTGTCAGCCAGGGACGGTCAAGTACCCTGTGTGCTGTTCTCAGCTGCTTGGCCTCTGAGATTTCCAAGGGGGAAAATGCAATGGGGAAAGGGTTTGGGGGAAGCCCTTTTGTAGAAGGCTAAAGGTGGAGGCTGGAGTTGGGGTCCCTGGATGCACTCTCGGATGCGCTGCAGTGGGAGGCAGGAACCATCCCCTGAGCAGAGAGGCAGGACTGCATGCCCAGTCCTCAGCCACACCTACAAGTGCCTGTGAATTGGCTGGAGGGGGCGGGGGTGGGGGCTCCTTTCAGGGGAGGTTCGGATGATCTCCTGCAAGTGGAAATGCGGAGATCCCCGCATTTCAGTCATTTTGGCCCGGACCAAAAAGGACCTGAGCTGCAGGGGATGTTTGCAGGGCCAAGGTCTTCACCGGATGAGCTGCTGGTTTCTCACAGGTCCCAGGTCTCGTGGGGTACTGAGGGACAGCTGCAAAGGATGTTCTGCTCTTGCAGGTGGGGGCGGCAAGTGTGTCCTCAGCTGGGCAGGAGACAATGGGGAGCCCTTAGGGTTCTGAGGGCCCAGGCTATGGTGCTAGAGGGGTGCAGGAAACCCCTAGCTTTATGCTCCTCACCCAGAAGATGAGGGGACTCTGTGGCCTTGGGACTCCTAGGGGCAAGGTGGCCTCTCTCTCCTGCTCCCGAGTTGACAAGTCCCCAGGACCAGGTCTCTCCTCTCTGCTCTCCTGCTCCTCCTCAGCCTTTGGTCAGGGACCACTGGACCTGCCAGACCCCACTGGGCTGCAGGGCAGAGACTGTCCTCCTAGCCTGAGAGACTCTGGAGAATCGAGGTGTGGAAGCAAACACCTGGAGGAGTCTCCCCTCACCCTGGAGGCTGCCTTCCTTGGGGTACCACCCACCCCTGTCCCCAGCTTCAGACTGCTCCTCTAGTTGGCTGAGGGTGGGGTGGGGTGGGGAGAGGGGCTGGCTTGGGAGGAGATGATGCCCTGGCCCCTTGCAGTGGGTGCATACTGGGAGCTCAGCCTTGGGGGACATCCGTATGGAAGGTCAAGCTGGGGGCCTATGGCCCCATCTTTGTCCTTGCAAGTCTCTGGTGGGGCTGGTGGATGGTAGTGGGTGGTCAGGGGGTCTGATGGGGAGGAATGGGGCAGAGCGGGTGGAAGGGCAGGTAGAACTGGGAGACAGCTGGGAAGGGGAACGGGGAGGGGGGGAGGGTGAGCTACACCGGACAGACACACGGAGTGGATGAGGGACTCGTGGCCAAGGACAGTGGGTGGGGACTCGAGGAGGCGGGAGAACCAGCCCGGAAGTCACAAGGGTGGTGCATACGAGAATAATGATCACACAGAGATGGCGGAGGAACTCAAAAGCCTATTCTGATATTTAAATGTAGACAGGCACCTCTTACGTTTATTCGCGCCTGATACTCAGCACTGCCCACCGAGTTCCGAGCCATGCACCGGTACACGCCCCCGTCTCGGATCTGGGGGCCCGTGACGTTCATGTGGCTGATGGTGGTGCCATCCGACATGGTGTACTGGTTCGTGCGGTGGCTGCTGTCCCGCAAGATGGGCTCATCGTCCAGGGCCCAGGTGACGGTGGGGGGCGGGGCACCCTTGGCCGCACACATCAGTGAGAACTGCTCCCCCGGATTGACCACCTTCTCGCTGAAGGACGAGACGATGCGGGGGGTGCCGTCTGCAGGGAGCAAGGAGCCCCGTTCAGTGTGGCTGTGCCATGGAGGACTGTCCCCCCCCACCCCTGCTCCCGTGCAGGTGAGGAGGCCAGACAGCAGCTGCGCCATGGTAATGAGGGCCTTCCGTGCCCATCAGCGCTTGTGCAGTGCACACAACCCTGAGAGGCGCCAATCGCTGCTGCACATGGGGAGTCCCGAGGGCACGAATTCGGCCCGCCACTGCTGAGCTCCGTGTCTTCAGACAAGCTACTTACCCTCTCTGAGCCTTTCCTTCTCCTCCTGGGTAAGGGCGGGGAGGAGGTCTTTTGTGAAGGTCACAGGGGTCAATGTGCCTGAGACCTTCATCATGTCATTGTGTCAGCAGTTACCGTCGGATCATGGAGATCCAAAGGGTTTTCCCTGCCTGATCTTTGGAAGCAGGTCACCAGGCCTTTCTTCCTAGCCTCTCTTAGCCTGGGAACTCTGCTGAAACCTATTCAGCCCCACAGCCACCCCGATGACAGAGGGGTGGTGGCTGTGGGTGGGACGCATGGACTGGAACGGAAGGAACCCGTGTCTCGGGCACCCAAGGTGCAGCCGGCACTTGTTCTCTCAGATCCTCGTTTGGCCCCTGACTCCTTCTTTTAGCAGGAAGGAAACAGTCCTGGGAGGTTCACTACATGCGGGGCCATGACCTGAGTGGGCCAGCCTAGGCAAGCCTGAGTCCCCTTCCCTCCATGAGATCAGCCAGCTGGGGAGGGGCTGGTGCCATGGCCCTGCTAGCCACCCGGGCCTAGAGGAAGACCCCCGATGAGATGGGCCGACATAGCGGCGGCCACAGCGGGTTCAAATGCCACCACGATGGGGCTGGCAGGGCCGGGCAGGGCTTCCCTCCCTGTGCACAGGCTCGCGGTGAGTCTGAAGCAGATTTGGGCCCCTCACAAAAGGGGCTGGGCACGGTAGGATAGCAGGTGGGGCAAAGCTCTCTGGCCAGGCTTTATTTCTTGGCTAACCGTGCCACCCTGGACAAGACAGTTAATCCCTGTGCCCCAACGTCCTCACGCAGAACAGGGGGTGCCACTATTACCCACTGTTCCACACAGGCTTGTTGCCAGGGGTGAAGTAGGCATTTGGTGGGTGCTGTGGAGCGTGTTAGCAAGAGGCAGGGAGGAGCGAGGCCAATGCAAGTGGCTTTCTTTACATGTGACCCCCACACCCACTTTTCAGATCAAAGGCTGGTGTGGACCCCAGCCCCCACTGCCTTCCCAATCCCTACCCCGTTCATTTCTGGGGAGACTCTTATCTAAAATCCAGCGGCTGGCTGGGCTCTGGCAAGGACTGGGGGTGCCCACTGGGGAATCGCTTGGACTTTGGTCCCTCCTCTCCTCTCTGCCCGCACACCCTCCCACCCCCTCTGCCCCCGCTACTTCACCTTTCTGGCTGGCCCTCCTTTCCCTCTGCCCACCTCTGATCAGCCTCCTTTTCCCTATCTTTGCTGTCCTCTCACCCAAACCCAACCCACTGCCACAAAGTCGGTCCTGACTAACTCTGTGGCCACCCCGGTGGCCTCCTCGGGGAGACCATGCCCTGGGTGTGGGCGGGGAGGTGCCCTGAGAAGGATCCACTGTTGTGCTTCCTGGAGGGAATAGACCAGAGATTTGTCAGGACGACTGGAGGGGCTGCGGTTAGGTGGTCTGTGGAGGGTGAGAAATCAGGGCTCAGGCTCAGAGGGTGCCTGGCCCCCTCCCCTCATTCCCTCACTCCAGGAGTGAGGGCCTGTGGCCAGGACAGCGGAGACCATGCCCGGCCTAGGTGCTGTAGGACTTGACTGGTTGGTGTCTCTGTTACCACAGTGAAAACACAGGGAAGGAGGAGGGTCATGGGCTTTTCGGCTTGCCTTTTTTCCCTTTTCTTTTTTAAAAATAGCAACAAAGGAGGGAACTGGCATGGGGGAGCCACTAAACTTGGGATAAAGCCCTCTGCCAGCCCCCACGGCATCTCTGTGCAAGGAGGTTGAGGCCCCTCTCCTACATGCTCCCACCGGGTGTGGCAGGCGGCCTGTGAGCGGACTTTCAGTCCTCCCTCCCCGTGTTGGCCGATGCCTGGGGCAGTGAGCCACCTGAGCAACTACACAGAGGTCCCAGGTGCGGGGCCCTGGGTGGTGGCAGCTTGAAAGGAAGAGAGAAGTCAGTGGGAACCCCAGCCTGCGACGTGGGACAAAGCCTGCGGTGCAGAAGGATCAGGCAGGGACAGAATTCAAAGTCCAGGTCCTTGACAATACTCTTCCAGGGTCTCTGGGAGACAGAAAGCCTTCAGGGCCCCAAAGACCCCTCTACTAGTGAAGTGCTGGTAAGTTCAGGGGGTGGAGGCCATCGACTCTCCTGGCTAAGAGACTGGAGATCAAATCCCAGCTCTGCTCTTTCAGCAAGTGACAGAAACCTGTTTCCCAACTGTCAAGTTGGCCACGTGAGCCCCACGCAGGGCCCTGGGGCCCCTGCCTGATCCCAAACCAAACCCACTGCCATCGCGTTGGTTTCAACTCATAGCAACCCTGTAGAGCACAGTAGAACTGCCCCTGTGCATTTCTGGGGCCATAACTATGGGAGTAGACAGCCTTCCTTGTCTTGCTATGGATGGCCGGTGGGTTTGAACTGCAGACCTCATCTTAGCAGCCCACCATGCCACCTGCTCTCACCATGATCACCGTGGCAGGGCGGTGGGATGGGGCTGGGGCAGGGCACCTCCTGGTTGGGGCTTGCGGAGTCTGGGGTCTCCAGTGAGGGACAGCTGGGCCCTGCGCTGGGCCCCCTCTGCGCTGGCTGTCCCACTCACCCTCGAGCACAATGATGGCGAAGTCCTGGGCGGTCTGGGCCTTGCGGGTGGCGAAGCACTGGTAGGCCCCGGAATGGCTCTTCTGGGCCGCGGTGATGAGCAGGGTCTCGTTGCTGAGCCCGCGGATGGAGATGGCGTCGCCAGGCAGCAGTGGCTCGGTGTTGCGGTACCAGCGGATGGTGAACTCCGGGGAGCCCGTCAGGGCACAGGAGAGGATGACTGTGCTGCCAATGCCGGTCTTCAGCTTCTTTGGTGTCAGGGTCACATGAAGGGGGTCTGGGCCACGCCGAGCAGGGGTACAGTGGTGGGAAATAAGAGGAGAGAAAGAGGAGGAGGACTGGCTGTGGGTGGAGTGTGGTTGGGGTGGCTCCTGGTCACGAAGGGGCCTCAGGGTAGAATAACCGTCCACCCCTCCCAGCCAAGCCCATTGCCCATGGATCAATTCTGCTTCATAGCGACCCTACCGGAGAGAGTGGAGCTGCTCCTCAGGGTCTCTGAAACTACATCAGTACAGACACACACTCACTGTGGTGGAGTGTATATCTACCCACAGGGACCCTACAGGACAGGCTCCTCCTGCACACCTGTACCTCTTGACTCCAGTGCTCGTTGACCCCATTGCATAATCCCCATCCACCCTTTGTAGCACCACCCTGTCTACGGTGCTTTCAATAGTCTTCACCAGCACCACAAGCCAAAGGCACGGATTCTGCTTCCATGTTCAACTTCAATGTCACATGTCTATGAGGCGACTGGGTTAGGCCCCTCCATGGCTGGGTTAGGATCCCTTTCCTAGACCTCCCTTCTGACCTTGGGCACCACGCACATGCCTTTCCATCAGCTCTGCTGTCTGTCTGCCCCTCCCTCTGGTCGGGGACGTCATCTTCAGAGGATTGCTGTGGCCAGGGACAGGCTTGTTCAACTCCACTCAACTCACTCAACACCACTGAGTCAATGCCAACTCATGGCTACTCAAGACAGGCTAGAGCTCCCCCTTTGGTTCTCCCAGGGGATACATCTTTATGGGAGCAGAAGTTTTGTCTTTTCTCCTATGGAGCCACTGGTGGATTTGAGCTGCCGACCTTGTTCGTAGCAGTCTACTGCTCGCCCACTATGCCACCCAGTATCCTTGGCTGGGTAGTTAGTAGCCCCAAACTGGGCCCCCTCTCCTGCTCTCCACGGGGCTCTGGCTTGCAGAAGTCTGGGGTTCCTGAGAGGTGACCAACAGGCAAGGGGAAGACTTCAAGCCTGCCTGGGTCAGGAAGTGCCAAAGCAGACTGCTGTTCATGCTTGGTTCTCCCTGCTCACGCCCTGAGCCATTTCAAATGAGCAGATTTCAAATTGGCCCAGCAAATGTCAGTGCACAAGGAAGCAGTCCCAGGGTTCTGTGCTGTCTCCCTGCCACTCCTGTAGGGGCCAGGGGTAGGATGGGTATGTGTGTGACGGGGGCAGGGAGGGACTGGAAGAACCCGACCTGAGGCCGGGTCACATGGCAAGGGACAGGGGAGGGTGTGTGTGCCCCTCATCCAGGTTCTTCTGTTGATGTTAGCCTCTTTGCCTGCCTGTGAGGCTCATGGTGTGTGTGTGAGGGGTGAGGGTGGGGCGAGGGGGGTGAGAAGAGGTGTCTGCTCAGGCTCCTGGGGTCCTGGGGCTCTGGGACAGGGAGGGACAGGAAAGGATTAGAGCTGGTGTCAGGGGGAGCTCCTAGTGTGGCCTGTTTGGTTGTTTACACAAGGTCTGGCCTCATGTCCTGTTAAACCTTCCCAATGTAACTCTGGGATGGGACCCAAGACATCCTCTGTGGTAAAAGAAATTCACGCCAGCACTGCCTCCTTTGGTACCATCCTGCCACAGCCCGGGAGGCCCTGACCTCGTGGGAGCTCGGCACTGTCACCCTGGGCTCCTTTGTCACCCGACTCCATTCTCAAGATCTCGAGGGGTGGGGGCAGGCTGGGTCAGTCTCCCATTTTATAGACAAGGCCCCTGAGAACCTGGTGAGGCAATGTGGCCCAGGACTGTTTCCATCTGAAAAGGCTGCAGTCAAAAGGCAAACCTGATTTCAAAGCCACGGTTTCCCCCAGCACACCCAACTGCTTTCCCCAGCCACCAGGATTCATGCTGGGCTCGGCCAGAGGGTCCTGCTGCTGCCCTGCCCCCTGCGACCCGGCCACTGGGGCTTCGCCATCAGGACAGTCGAAGAACCGTCCTCGCATCCCCACCCCACTCACCGATGACCGTGAGGGTGCCGGTGGCCTCTGCTGAGCCGAAGGTGTTGGTGACCTCACAAATGTAGGTGCCACTGTCCTCGGTCCGCAGGTCACTGATGGTCAGCCCCGTGATGCGCTTGGTCCAGCGGCTATCGGCCGGGAGGGGCCGGCCATCCTTGAGCCAGCGGATGGCAGGGATAGGGTAGCCCGAGGCGGTGCAGGGCAGCTCCACAGTGTGGCCGGCCCACACTTCCCGGGAGTGGAAGCCGTCCAGGATGGTGGGGAGGGACTCAGCAGGGTCTGCAGGGCAGAGAGGGGCAGCAGCCCAAGGTGGGGAGGGGAGAAAAGGCTGAGCATGGGTGCCCACTGCCTGAGGACACCGAGGAGCTCTAGAACCATATTTCTAGGCCGACTTGCTTTGTGTCCTCTGTTCGGATCCCCCTCCTGGCACTAGTCTGAGCCCTGGGGCCAAGCACTGGGAGCAGGGCCCAGGAGGAAAGCAGGTATCAGGTGACACCAACTGGCTCAAGTGACTTGCTTGCTGGGAAGGGGCTTTCCCACATGCATGCTCCCTCTCTGCTTCACACGCTCACTTTCTCGTTCTTCCTCTGTCCGTGTGTCCATCACTCTCACCTTAGCTACCTCAACCCCCTTTCCAAAGGCAGCCCCTGAGACCAGTGTCCCTCATGGCCATGCCCTGTGGGCCTCCCTGGAGCCCTGTGCTCTCTGAGGCAGGTCTGGACCCCAGGATCTGGCACAGAGCAGGGTCATGGCTATTGTAAACATGCCCGAGAGGGAGTGTGGTGGTTACGCAATCTGGTGTCAACTTGAGATTATGAAGAGTGAAGGGGTGGCGTTTAGCCTGTCAATCAGGCCGCAGCTTGATGACCTCATTTGGAGGCACTATGGAGATAAATAGCTCACTGGAGGTCAGATACACTCTTTGTCTCCCTGCTGACAAGACAGATAGAGCTATGCTGATGGAACCAGAACCCTGGAGCTGGAAGAACCACCTGGAGACCCACATCGATGCTGAGATGTTTCCACTACCACTGGATCCACAAGACTTTTCACCCACTGGCTCGTGATCTTGCTGCATTCGGCATCATTGCATGTGTTGCATGAGTCTGAAGAAGGAACTTATGGACTAGTATCAGCATATGGGCTAATATCGGACTTATAGACTTGATCTGGACTGGACTGGGATGTTTTCTTAATGTACAATTGCTCTTTGATATAAAGTTCTCTCTTACACACATGTGCGTGTCTATGAATTTGTTTCTCTAGTGAACCCAGACTGACTCAGGGAGGAAAGATCCAAATCAACCAGTGGTCTGGTTTTTCTGGCTATGAATCAAGGTTGTAGGACCTGCCCACTGTTATTCAGTGCAGTCTAGGGGATCTCCACTCACAGCAATCCCAAGTGACGGGAGAACTGCCTTCGGGGGCTTTCTTGGTTATAATCTTTATGACACAGTGGTTGGTTATGCATTGGTCTGAGATCCACAAGGTCTGAAGTTCGGAACCACCAGCTGCTGCTCTGGGAGGAAGACGGGGCTTTCTACTCCCGTGAAGAGTTGCAGTCTGGGGAACTCCCAGGGGCAGCTCCTATGCCCTACGGGGTCTCTAGGAGTCAGCGTGACTCGATGGCAGTGAGTCTTCTTTAGGGGAGCCCATCACTAGGTCCTTCTTTCATGGAGGTAGTGGAGGGGGGGCGGATCGAACTGCCAAGCAGGTAACCATGGTGCCACCGGGACTCGTGGACCAGAAAGGGGCCGTGGACTGCCAAGGATCACAATGCAGAGGACAGATCAGGAGCCCCCTGGCCCTGCCTCAGCAGACCAGGTGCAAGATGGGATGGTCTGAATCGTCTAGCACTGGCTTTTCCTTGACGGGAACGAGAGAGCTGCTGCCCTCCGTGACAAACGAAAACGCCCCTCTTTCCACAGCTCATTTCCCGTGGGCAGAGGAGGGGCTTGGATTCCTCCTTTCTGGGACAACGACTTTCCAGAAGACACCCTGCTTCCTCCCAGAGCCCCGTGGCTCTTCCAGAAATGCCTATGGGGGTTCAGAAGGAGCCCCAGGGCTTGGGATGCAGAGGGAAAAACCCAGCAGAAGCACACACATGGAGGGAGGCCTGGAGTCGACTCCTGCGCCGCTGGGCTGTGTGTTACGGCGCACGACTGCGCCCCATGGGTCCTCAAGGCTGTGGTTTCTGGAAGCACATGGCCACACCTTTCTTCCAAGTCTCCAGGCAGGTTCTTGTGGGCTGGCAGACAGCCCGAGGCCTAACCATTTACATGCACTCAGGTGCAAATCTGGACTGGGCCCCTGGTAATGGGATGACCTCGGGTCAGTCCTCCAAGCTGGCAGAGCTCTGGTTTCCGGATCTGCAAGGTGGCCAGGAGCTTCCTCCCAGGCCCAGGCACGCATGCTGTTTGTCGGCCATCCATGGCAGAATGCATGTCAGAGTGACTTCCCCCAGTGAAATCGATTATGCAGATGTGCGGGCAATTACTATTCAGGGCACCCTCCCTCCCTGCCAGGCTCTGCGGCCGCCCCCACCCCCAGCCCTGTGGGAATAGTTGGGATAAACAAACCCGTGCCAGGGAAGAATTACTCAATGTGACACTTAATTGATGCAAAATACACAAATTCTGTGGCACACCGCAGAATTTACAAGCGGAGGGGCTGTCAGGGTGGTGGAGGGGAGGGTGGGGGGGTGGGAAGGGGCTGAGGGGGGGAGGGAATTAATCACCGAGTCTCAGGCGTGAAATTAAATTCTGAGGGAAAGAAACCTCTTTCATTACTCCGGAGCAGAAGTAAAACGCTGCGGCGAGCACCCAGCGGCAGCTGTGGGGGAGAGGATGTTGCCAGCAACCTCGTGGGGCTGGGGGTGAGTGGGAGGGATGGGCAGATGGGCTCCTGGGGGTACTGGGATGGACAGGGTTGTAAGGGAGGGACCTGCTGGGAACAGAGCCCCGGCACTGGACTCTGGACTTGTCCCACAGAGTGGCTGAGGGGCTGTGCAGGCACAGGGGGTGGGTGCCCATGAAAGCCAACATGGGGCGAGGGCCCGGGAAGCCCCCGAAAGCGAGCACGGGGCGGTATTATCATGTTGCCTCTGGAGGGCCCTGGGTATTCTTGCAACTGCCTCCTCTGATTTGGAAAATGTGGAACAATGAACGTGGACCCTTGGGGCGCTCGCTCCCAGTCAGCACGACTCCGGATGAAACCACGGGACGTCCCCATTTCACCAGGCACGGATCCCATTGCGTCGGGCCCGTCACGAGGGCACAGGCTTTTCACCTCTGGCTGCTTCATGCCACGCTCATGGCAACCCATCCTATGGATGGCAAAACCGAGGCCATGAGTGGTCAGAGGGCAGGGGGCTAAGATGGTGACAGGCTTTGGGCCTTTTTCCAACCCTCTTCCTCCTCCTCCTCCTGCTCAGCTTTCCTGCCTTCAGCAAGCCTTCAGTGCCACCAAGGAGCCCTGGTTATAGCCCTGGGCTGCTAACTGTGAGGGCTGTTCAAACCCACTGGCTACCAAGAGGGAGAGAGACGAGGCTGTCCACTCCTGTAAAGAGTCACGTCATCAGAACCCTACACAGAGGCTCTGTGGGTCGGAAGCGAGTTGATGGGAGGGGCTGGGTTGAAGGGACCACAGGCAGGTATGGGTCCTGTCCCCAGGAGGTGGCCATCCATCGACAGGGCATGGTTGCTAAAAGGGATCCATCTATCAATCTCACACCATGTACCCCCTCCACCCCCCAGCCTCCAAATACCTTTTGGACCTCAGGGGAAGGGCGTTCCCGGCACAAACATGCCTTGAGAATGTCCTCCCTTGGGAAGTATTTTTGACTGAGATCCTCTCTGCTACCAGGAACCACCTAAAGCCTCTCTCTGCCAGGCGCCCACCCCCCCCCACCCCCCCCACCAGCTCTGCACTCCAGAGGCTGGCTCCGAGCTTCTGGCCAGCGGGGAACGATGCGCCTGCCGGGCTGGCTGCCACCAGTCCCCCGGGGAGCTCACTGGCCACTGCCGTTAGAATAAACCATCTTGGCTGTGACCAAGGCCCAGCCTGCTGCCCACCATCTCTGGGGAGCAAGTCTGAGGAGGCCGGTGGGTGGGGGGCTCTGAAGCCCACTCCCCTTGCATTCCCTGCTCTCATATCATGTGCATTTCTGCCGAGACGAGCAGTTTGCAGATCCTCCTGTCTCATCTCATCACCGGGCTGTGTCACTCTGCGGGTACCCCTCCCCAGCGCCCTCCTTCTGCCTTGAGATCTCTCTCACCCTGTCACTGCCGCCTCCTCCTTCCCACCGCGCTTTGTTTCCCTCCGTGCCTCCCTTTGGCTCCTTCCCTGAGCAGTGCTCTCTCTGGCCCGTGCATCTCTGCGTGTCTGGCTGGCCGGCTGTCTAGCGCCATCTCTCTCTCTCTCCCCTTGGTCTGTGCTTTGTCTCTGGGTCTCTCTGTGGAGTCTCTCCCCCTCCCTTCCTTGTCCTCTCCCCCCAGTGGGAATAAGAGGCTGAAGTAGAGGGTCTCTCCCCCCTACCCAGTGTCTTTCCTGAGGATTCCTGTGGGCTCTCCACCCCACTCCATCCCAGGGCAGGGGGTCCATGAGGGGATTTCTAGGGTGAAGGCCCCCCCCATATATGCGGGAGGAGGAGAAAGGAGCCTGCCTGTGGGGAGGGGGGAGGGATTTGAGTGCCTTCTCCACTTGGTATGAGATACATGCAAATGAGATGCAAAACACCATGCAAACAAGCTGCTCTAATCTGGAAGGGAATTGGACTGCGGATTCCAAAGTGAAAGCACAAAGATGGCGCTGCACAGTGCGTGGGCGGTGGCAGGGGGGCGGGGTGTCTCTCGGGCCCCCTGGGACCACGGTTTCCTTTGGCAAAGTCCACAAACATTTACTTAGCACCTAGTGTGTGCCAGGCGTGGGGCACGGGGCAAGCCTGGCTCATAGGAGAGCACTCCTGGTGCTTGCTGTCCTGGCCCAGCCTCCAAATGGGTCCATGGGAGGGACGGGGGTGGGTGGGGGGTGGTGGGGGTTGGACTTGCTTCGTTGCAGACTGAGGGGAAAGCCTCCGCTGGCACAGAAGCCTTCGAGAACCAGCTTGCTCAACTCCCACAGCACCGATTCCAGCAGCAGCCGCGAAAGCCACCAGCCGAGGCCTGCTTCTGTCCTCGGCTTATTTTATGTGTTTGTTGGTTCTCAACAGCCAACTTGAGAGGAAGAGCTGTATCTCTTGAATATTAGGTAGCACTTCA